TAAAATGGAAAAGCATCATCGATAAAAATGGAGACTATTTCATTTAATAAATGTTTTGTTTTGATATATAAGTTGTTCAGGTTGTTGTTGTTTTTTTCATTTAAAAAGGCGACATTAATTTTTTGACGACCTAATAACAAAACATGATACTCTTTCATCATGTTGGTCCTATCTCAATAAGTAACAGAACATGACATTTATTCCACTATGCCGGTCTTGACACAGAAATCAGTAAAGCGTGGTAACTTTTCCATTTTTCGTATTCTAACACAGTAGGTAAAGAGAATGACTACTTTTTACATGTTAGTTCAAGTTAAAATCATGGCGTCTGTACAGCTATGCCGACTCTAGCGGAACAGCCAATAAAATATGGCTTCCATTTTGTATGTTCTGACATTATGTATATGTGAAGAAACCTTACAGGTTATGTTACGTCAGGTAACACGGTGATTTAAATTTGGCGACATTTATGTTGCATATGTTTACCCATTCTTCTAGTTAAATGTTATCACCTATCGAAATTTCTTCCAATGTAAGTATATGTTACTAAACCTCATATAGTTTTCACAAATACATCTTATTACATTTTTCAAAGAAAATACGAAAAAGCTATAATGGTTATGTGTTTGATTTCTCGTTCGAATTCATTATATAAATAACGTGTTTATCTGAGAGATTCAAGAAAAAATGACAGTACCCTACCGTGACCTTGAGAAAATACAAGAAACAACGACAGTGCGCTAAAATGACTTCAGAAACCCAAAGATCCTACTATGTATTGACTTGCACAAAACACATATCTATTGTTATGATATCACACATTCACATTCAATACAGACTCTTGGAAATGGGTTAACAATTAAACTTTGTTAGCATTACCAATAGTACACTACATAATTTGATCTTTATAAATTGTTAGTGGCCCTACGTTGTTAAGTATTAAAAAAAAAGGCTAATCCACGAATGAAAAGAAAAATGATTTGATTTGTTGATTTTAAGCGGCTTACACTTGTGGCGAAGGGTCTTGAAGATGCTAATCTCTCGAAAGCACCACTTTACATATCTTGTCGACAAGTTAGAGCCTAACGAAACTAAAGACGTATTATTGTTGTTCCATTTATTCCTTTATCTACTTTTTCTGCTATTTTTCTTGATATATTTGTTAAAACTTCGTTCACAGACCATACTGGATTAATTTAGCTAGCCTACAACACGTATTCTATTTACAACAACATAGAGCCAGTGTATTTCATACTTACGTACTGGGTGGCGGCAGTCTTAATGGTTTAGCTGCTAAATCTGATTTTATTAAGGTATCTACATGACAAATGAGGCACAGTTCAAGACAATTAGTCTTCTCTGTTAAATCATCTGTAACTAATTTATTCTCTTGATGACAATTGTGGTGACTCCTCCTGCACATTTTCCATAGAACCCACGTATGTTTGAATTGATTACGGCCACAGCGGGATACATTTTTCAACCATGAAGCTATAATTTATTCATTCAACGGGGAATTATAAGCACAACCGGTGGGCTCTCCGTGAAAATGTTTAACTGACGTTTAAAATGAAAACATACTTGACCTTTCCAAACAAACGTAAATGTAGAGAATTTCATCAGACTTTTTTTTCTTTTTACCTTTATAGGAGTGCAATCAATTAAAAAAAACTTCTCTGTGTAGTTACTAAAGAAGATGCTTTGCAAATATAGAACATACAAGTAACTTATGAATATCACTTACCTCAACACTTCTGGGAAGTTAGAGCATTATAACAGAAATTATTCTTTACAACTCCAGTTATCTAGGTAATAGGTAACATGTTAGGAAATCAGAATATAATTTAGTTTGAGGTATCTGAAACAAAATGATGGGTGCTATGCACATCGTTAGCGCTAACTTTTCCAAATCCACTCTGTGAGCTAGTTCATTTTTTGCACTGCTTTAGAGTTCTCAGCAGCACTCGCGTCAATAAATTTTGGAGGTGCTTAAAGCCCTTACAGAGGTGTCGCCTATGCACCCATTTAAAGGACCATAAATAAGTGTAAGTTATAAAACATGATTTTTTGAAAGAATATGGCAAATACTTTGCAATGATAAACTGGTCGAGTTTAGATATAGGTAGAAGTTTTTTTATGAAAAAACTAAATGTATCTAAATTAATTAAATTGATTTGAAACTGATACAAGAATACACAATATTTCTCATTATTAACTAAACTACGCCATAAAATTAAGGTTGTAACAATATTCTTGATGTAGGTGTGAAAATTAGAAACACAAACAATTTATGTCAGTAATTTTAGAACAAGTTATATCGCTGTATTTGTTAAAGGAGTCGCTTCCTTATTATACAATTAAACATCACTAAAATAATATTGTTTATTTGTAATTAAGCACAAAGATACACAATGGGCTATCT